ACTTTAACTGATAATAACATTTTTTAAAATAAAAATGAGACGGTGAGAAAGTGCTCTTTTATTATCACATTCTTTACCTTTCCACTACGAATTAACCATAATCATCGTTCCTCACAGATTCTTTCCAGTCTCCTCCACTTTGCATCAGTTACCCCACTTTCCTCCACCACCATTGTCTTCCCCCCACATTTCATCTTCAACCTCATTCTCACTCGCACACACCCTCCTTCCTTCTTTCATGGATCCCAACAAGCAGCCACAGAAGAAGAAGTGCTTTCTCTCACTTGCTTTCTCTCTCCTCCTCTCCACTTTCCTCATCTTCCTCTCCGTCTCCGTCTCCTCCAATCTCTCCTCTCGCTTCAATCCTGCTGCTCAACGCGTTGTTGCCCATGAAACGCCTCGTTTCGTTGAATCCAAGCTTCGCGTCTCCCCTACGTCCTCTGACCCTGTTCCCAGAATCGCTTACTTGATTTCTGGATCAATGGGAGATGGTCACAGTCTCAGGAGGACCCTCAAGGCTCTTTACCATCCGAGAAACCAGTACGCGGTGCATTTGGACCTCGAGGCCTCGGAAAAGGAGAGATTGGAGTTAGCTAGATTTGTGAGAGACGAGCCTATGTTCGTGAGATTCCGTAATGTGAGGATGATTGTCAAGGCTAATTTGGTTACGTACAGAGGTCCCACGATGGTCACTAATACGCTTCACGCGGCGGCTATTTTGCTCCGGAAAGGTGGAGACTGGGATTGGTTCATTAATCTGAGCGCCTCCGATTATCCGTTGGTCACTCAGGACGGTACGAATTGCCCTGTAAAATTTTTCTTTCGTCAATTGTTGCTCTGCCTCATATTTGTTCGTTGGTGTGCAAGCTTTGTGCTTTTGTTTTTTGGGAAACTGATTCAATTCCAATGGACTTCTTTTTCTAAATTGAGCATGAGAACAATTAGTTCTGGTATTTATCGAATCTTGTGCTTCTGAATTTAATGCTTCTTTCTGTTTTGGCTTGAATCAGCGAGAATCCTGAACTCGCTGTTTCTTAATTAATATATTTTCCCAACAGTTGCCTTATTATTTATTATTTGATTACCTAAATGCATTAAAGATTCACGGTATAGTTGTCGGCGCATGGCTATCTCTGTCTCTCATGGAAGCTTTGATGGTTCGTTAATTCTTATTTGACTTTGTTGCTACTTGTTTGGTATGGTAAGAACGAGTTTTAACACTGTGGAAATTCATTTTTAGAATGTTTATATACACCTTACTATAATTATGTTGTGTATATTTTAAATGATATTGATTGATGATGATAATATTTTTATATACACGCCACACTTAAATTTTTAATAGCCTAAGAAATTGAAGGGAAAAAAATCCACGTACTGAGGTTGAACTTTTAAGGATCATTCACTTACTCTGTCAATCTGAATTGCTTCTTTTGTATGACAGATCTGCTACATACACTCTCAACTACACCGAGGCATCTTAACTTCATTGAGCACACCAGTGACATTGGCTGGAAAGAGTACGTTTATAATTCTTTTGAAATTTTGTTCGCCATGCTATTTATTTAAAATAAAAAAAATCCAAATGACCTGATCTTATTTACCTGTTACTTTTTACTATTTTCAACAGGCATCAGAGGGCGAGGCCTATTATTATCGACCCGGGTCTTTATAGCGCTCATAAATCTGATGTGTTTTGGGTGACGCAGAAAAGAAGTGTACCCACAGCTTACAAGCTGTTTACAGGTGAGAAATTAAACCGGCTTACGCAGAGTACTTCACTAAATTCAATAACTTGTACTGGAGAGAACAATAAAGAAATGACAGTATTGTAGATCCTGATCATAAATCCAAGGACTCAGCTTCATAATTTTGCTCAGGTTCTGCCTGGATGATGCTGTCTCGTCCATTTGTTGAATACTGTTCGTGGGGTTGGGATAACTTGCCCAGGATAGTGTTGATGTATTATGCCAACTTCCTATCATCACCGGAAGGATATTTCCACACAGTCATATGCAATGCTGAGGAGTTTCGTAACACAACTGTGAATCATGATCTCCATTTCATATCATGGGACAATCCTCCAAAGCAACATCCACATTTCCTTACAGTTCATGACTACCAGAGAATGGTGAACAGCCATGCTCCTTTTGCAAGAAAATTTGGCAGGAACGATCCAGTCCTGGATAAGATTGATTCTGAGCTCTTGGGCAGGAAGGCAGATGGGTATGTGCCTGGTGGGTGGTTGAGACAGACAAATTCAAACTTCACCAATCCAAAGTATGATGTGAGAAATACCACTGATCTTAGGCCTGGTCCTGGGGCTGAAAGGCTAAAACAGCTTATTAATGGTTTGTTATCAGCAAAGGACTTAAAGGCAAAACAGTGTCCATGAAAGTACAGCTGGGTTCAGTACCCATTTTCATTGCTCAGCAGCCAACTGCCAAATTGCTTGCTCTGGGCTCATCACATAGCAAGGATGATGCACCACAACAGAAGAATGAAATGAATGCTTCTTTGAAAATACGCTTTACCCGTGGCCTACTTTACACACACAAATTTGATATACAACCCCTAGTTTGGAGTTAATAATATGTATCAGATGCTTCTTATTACCAGTAATTAATGGAATTGTTGTGCTCTTTAGAATGTCTTGATAGCAAATATGAAAGAAGAGAGTTCAATTTTTTTTTTTTAAATTATTGTCTTGCTAACTCAGCAAGAGGATATGATTTGGTACTCCGTCGAATGCCTTTTTCGCCACGGGAGAACTCAATTACTCCCTCCGTTCCTTATTATAAGAGACGAATAACCGAATTACGTTGATCAAAAAAATAGTTAAAATTAGTTAAGAACAATTAATGTGTAAAAAGTATAATTTTTTTTTCTAAAAATGCCCTCATTGATAAGGAGAGAGAACATGAGAGAGAACAATGGTAAATTATTAAAAGAAAGAGAAGTGGGAAGTAGAGAGAGTGTGAGTTGGAGACAATAAATATGGGTAAAATAGGAAATTAACACAAAAAAGTAGAGACAACTTTTAAGTGTCTCTTATATATAAGAACATGCCATAAGCATCAAATGTCTCTTATAATAAGGAACGGAGGGAGTATAACATAATTTCGCCATTACACCTCGGATCAAGAACAATAGCCGCGGACCAGAAAAAATTTGTGCTTTTTTTGTCGTCCTCTTGGGGTTAAAAGTACATACTTAGAGTGATACATCATGCTCTGACATTATTTATTAAATACTCTTCCACTCCTCCTGAATATAAGATCCTTATACTAAATATAAGATCTTTATACACGTTAGTATAATGGTCTTATATTTAGGACCAAAGGAGTAAAATTTATCTACAAAATATATTAAATAGTGAAACTCCGTGCATTTTTTTTTGGGGGTAAAAAAAAACTCAGTGCATATTGTTTTGACAATATATATGAAATACATCTAATTAAATCATCACAGGGAAGTCATTTTCAGTTTTATTCCAAACTTGTCTTTTTACAAGCTTTATTTTTATAGAAGCTCATTCCCAAGATGAATTATTTTATCAATGAAATGACTGAACTTTTATTTATTTAGCTATTTATTTTCTAAGCAAGCAGTGCCTATATTACATGCTCAATTTTTATCTTATCCTATCAACATGCTTTTTTCCCCCTAAAATATAGGTAGGAGTGTTCACGGGACGGATCGGGACCGGGACCGGGACAGGCCCGTCCCGGTTCCGTCCCGATGAACAGTAACGGGACAGAAAATCTGTCCCGTGTCCCGGCCCGTCCCGGGGTTGTCCCGGTCCCGGTCGGGACAGGACCGGGACGTCCCGAAATAATTTTTTTATTTTTTTTATTTTTTTTTTAAAAAATCTAATTTTTTTAATTATATTTTTTGAGCTTAAATCTTATAAAAACATCTTTTTTATTTGTTTGGGCACTCTTAAACAAAAGCTCAAATATTACATATAATAGTTATTAAAACTCTAAACAAAAGCTTTTAACACAATAAAAACTTGCTAAAAATTCTAATAATCAATAATCTCAAATCATTAACAAATATAAAAACTCTAAATAAATATATCCATAGTTCCATACAATAGTCTCAAATCTTAAAAAAATATGAAAAAAATAATATTATATAAAAAATTAAAAAAATTAATTTTTTTTTTTAAAAAAAGGAACCGGGACGAGACGACCCCGTCCCGTGTCCCGTCCCGTCCCGGTCCCTTTTTTGTCCCGTCCCGTCCCAATATGACCGGGACCGGAATGGGTCGACCGGGACGGGCCGGTCTTGAACACTCCTAAATATAGGTATCCTTCTATCGAAGACCATCCTATTCTAAGCACTGTCCAGTACTAAATATGAATACCTCTCTCAGTAGGAATTCGAACATTGATTTACCATATGATGAGAAACTAAACTCTTCTGTTAAACCCAACTCCTTAACTTTATATTGGATCCCATCCCGTGGATTGATAAGAAAAATGCTTTAACCCAAGACAAAAAGAAAACAAACAATAACATACGAGGCCTTCGCCCGCCTTTTCCATTTTTTTAAATGTTTTTAACGATAAACGCGAACAGAAAAATGTGATCAGCAAATAACAGTTTTTAAATGTCCTTACCATTGCACTTCGCACTATTGCCCTCGTGTAATGTACAGGTAATAGATTAAATGATGAATTAATAGGGGTACGGAGGGAAAAAGTAAAATAGACTTAATTTAAAAAATTAAACTGACTTTACTTTAACATATTTTCAAGTAAAAATCACAAAATAAAAAAATTACAAATAAAAAAATTACAAATAAAGACCCATTATAATATTAGTATGGGTTTTGATAACAACTTATAAGCAAATGACAACAATTTTTGTGAATAGGTCTTTGTATGTAATTTTTTAATTTCTAATTTTTTTTTACGATTTTTCCTATTTTTAACACTTTCAAGAAATATTACCAAAATCAAAATTAAATAAATACTATCATATCTTCAAAAACAAGATCAGGTTTCCCTTCCCATGCATCGAAATTTTCCTAAAAATCGATTTTTTTTCCTTCCCCTCGTTTTTTTTGGGGCCGGGGGCTGATGGCGTTCTACTCCCTCCCTGGAAAGCTTATTCCCATTAGATATCCTCCAAATTCACCATCCTGAGAAAAGAATCAAGCAATTTACATATTTCTTGTGCCTGTGGATGCGATTGATCACCGGCAAGAAATTCTTCAACTACATTATTCACTTCTATTATGCTACAACCAGGTTTCTTTTTCATTCCTGCTTCTGATATCTTACTCCTTACCTTGTTAGCCTCCATATCCCACCCAGCTTCCTTGTATATGTTATATGAAAGAACATGAGTCCCACTATCAGCTGCACCCATATCAGTAAGCTTTTTCCAGACTCTGTTTCCAATATCTACGTTCTTGTGAATTCTGCATGCATTTAGAAGAGCACCCCACACGTTGACATCTCCACCGGCAAGTCCACCCATCTTCTCTTCAATAAAATTCTCTGCTTCTTCCACCATGCCTGCTCTGGACAAAAGGTCAATGGCGCATGCATAGTGCTCTACCTTGGGTTTAATCCCATAAACACTGCTCATTTCTTCAAACAACTGAAGGCCTTCTTCAACCTTTTTTGCATGTGTACAGGCAGTGAGAACAGCAACAAAAGTAGTCTCAGAAGGCTTTGTCCCATTTATAACCATTTGATGAAACAATTCTAAAGATTTCCTTGCATCGCCACTCAGAGCAACCCCAGAGATCATAGCATTCCATGCTCCAGTATCTTTGTATGGCATGGCCTCAAAAACAGATAAAGCTGATTCAATACATCCACATTTTGAATACATATCCACTAAAGCTGTGGCCAGTATAGGATTGGACTCCAAATTGAATCGCTTGGCATAAGAATGAACCCACAATCCTTGCATGAGTGCACCAAGATGAGCACATGCAGTGAGTACAGTTACAAGGATTGACTCATTTGGCTTGGTGCCTGTGTTCTGCATTTCTGAGAACAAAGCAAGCACTTCCTTAAAGTTACTCACTCGAGAGTATGCTGCCATCATTGCACTCCACGATATGACATTTCTTTCAGGCATTTCATCAAACAGCTCTCTAGCGCTTTGTACATCCCCCGTCTTGCCATAACCATCGATCATCGCGGTCCATAAGACTACATCTTTCCTCGGAATTTTATCAAACAACAATCTTGCAGTTTCCACTTCACGAGTGTTGGAGTAAAATTCAATGAATGCACTGACAACAAAAGGATCATCACAATAACCAAATTTAACAACATGGGCAAGCACTAAACAACCGGTTGCTTTTGAACAACGATCTAAAGCAACACAGGCCTTAATCAAAGCTGGAAAAGTATAATTATTGACAGGAACACCATTTTCCAACATCTCTAAGTAACATAATATAGCGGGTATGGGTGCATTTGCCTGAACGTACCCTCTGATCATGGAATTGTGCATGAAAGTGTTGCGGTGTTCCAGATTCGCGAAAATGGAGGAAGCGTAAGATAAAAGCAAGCCATCATCGGATGTCGCCGCGGCGGAGAGAAGCGGCGCGATGGCATAGGGATTATGCGCGAAGTGGCATCTGAGAATATGGGCATGAGTCTGCTTCAGTTCCTTCAAGTTCTTGCATTTTTGCGCCACAGCCGTCAGAAATCCTCCGTTCTTAACAGTCTTTTGAATCATATGTGAACCAGCGTAGCATTTACAACCAAGCAATTCGTGTCCTAAATTTGTTGAGCTCTCTCTCTATTATGGGGATTTTGATTTTGCTATCCTTCTCATTCGCATGACACCCCACAGAGACTTTACATATACATACACATTCATGTGCACGTGTGCGTATTAATATATATCAGATAGTCATCTTCGCTAGCTAATATCAACGAGAAATTTATATTTTATTTGCGGCATATCCTCCACCAACAGAAGAAAAGACTAATCTCATTTAGATATGGAAGTTACTAGAATTTTTTCAAAATCCAACATCTGACTACATGTTGAAAGGATGCGTAAGTTGATTTATATTTTATATTAATATATGGATTATTTATTTTATTTTATTTTATTTTATGTTCACAATTTTTATCAAATAAATTACACCAATGTCATTTTTACCTTTAATTATACACAATTTGAAACCCATTGATTCAACTGACACTAAACATCTTTTTTAATCTTCACTTAGATTACATGTTATTGGTTTGCATTGTTTAGGGCTAATTATGTTTTTAAAGAAAATATTACCACCGGTTTTTAATATAAGAATTCGTTTGACTTTTATTTTGATCCTAAATATAAAACCCTAATTCACTTTGTCTCTCATATTTATCTATTTTTTTTAAGATAGTCATTGTAATAATGTTAATTCTAACCAATACGCTTAATTAGCAATGATATTTTAAAAAAAACAATATATATTTATTATAAATAACTAATTTAACTAATTTTTTTTAATATACTCAAATTACTCAACCACTTAAACTAGAGCAAATATATAAAGTTTTATTCATAAAGATGCAGGTGAGTTTCATGTCACGTTATCCTGTAACCTCTCTCTCATCATAATCTCACTCGTTATTCTCTCCATCACTGTTCTGCAACTTTAACAATTTTCTTTCCAATGTTATCTCCATGGAAGAGTCCGATGAAAGCAGAAGGGATGGTGTCAAGCCCAGATGAAATGTCTTCAAGATTCTGCAATTTCCCACTACGAAGGTGGTCAGATGTGCAAGAGACAAAATCTGGAAAAATGTTTAAGAAATCAGCGGCCAGAAATCCTCTGATGTTAAGTCTCTTGTAAACAACGTTGAGCATGTCTGGTGCAGCTCGCTTCCCTGGATCAGTATACTCAGACATCACCCCACACACAGCCACTCTTCCAAATGCATTCATGTTGTCCACTGCTGCCTCCAACATGTCTCCTCCAACGTTGTCAAAATATATGTCTATCCCTTCTGGAAAGTACCTGTAATTGAAATTTATCGCGTTTTGTCAACAACTTATCCAAGGATCTTGTTGCTGATAAAGTACAATGATATCATGCACGACTCATGTAACCGACCCCACCTAATAGAAGAACATTGTCATCATTGTTGTCGTTGTTGTCTACTAGACAAATGTAAGAATCCACACATCGTGTATTACCTTTTGAGAGCAGATTTTAAGTCTGTTTCTTCTCTGTAGTTGAATGCATCGTCAAGTCCCAGCTTGTGCTTCAGTAATTCCACCTGAAACCGATTACTCCCAGATTAGTCTTCTAAGCTAAAATGGGCAAGCTACTTTACAAAACAGTAATTCATGGCTATGACTCAAAAAAGGCCTGAGCTTTTGGGAACAAGATGGCCCTGTCAGATCAAAAAGATAACCTTTTTCTGGCTTCCTGCACAACCAACCACATAGCAACCAAAAAGCTTTGCATATTGTGCTGCCAAACTTCCTACAGATCCAGAAGCAGCGGATACAAATACTTTTTCCCCTTTTTTGGGTTTGCACAATTCAAAGAACCCAGCATAAGCTGATAATCCATTGAACCCTGTCAAGGATATTAACAAGAAACAAAATTCCCCACCAATTCAGATTGCTTCACGACAATCAGTATACATATGTCAGTACAATTTCATGCAGCTGAGGGATTCCGGAGAAGTTGTCTACTCATTTCATATTTTTTAAGGGAGAAAGTCCCACTATTGAGTATTGACCCAAAAGAAGACTGAATATACTATTGTTTTCTGACAGACGATATAGAATTGGGTAAGATTCTTTATGCTGTAAAGTTATGAATTATGTTATGCAAATAAATGATGGGTGGAAAATAGATGCCTAGAATTCCAAGATGGTAAGTGAGTGGGAATTCAGAGTGGTCCAGTTTGTTAATAATGCTCGCTTCTTTAACCAAGCTGTACTCGGCCCACGTGAACACTCCCACAACAACATCGTCCTTCTGAAACCTAGGACTCCCAGAAGCCACCACTTTCCCAATAGCAACACCATCAATTGCCTGCATATCCCAGTGCCGTCATTCCAAGTCATAGCTGTGAATTTGATCTTGAAACATAAATAGTTCAGGAGCGAGTGTGTGTGCGTGTGTGTGAGAGAGAAAGAGAGAGAGAGACCTGATTAGGGGTGATGGGGGCTGCGAAGTATATGGCTTTCTGAGAGGAGCTATGGCTCTTCATGCGATTAATCTGGTAGGGATCGATGGAGATATAGAGATTCTTAACGATGACATCGTCAGAACCAGGCACCAGTGAAAGGGATAAGTTCTCAGTTTTGAGCTCAAAGTGAGACTCTTTCGGTGTATCCTCTATGTGATTCTTTATCACTGCCACCTTGTTGCTCACTTCCATTTCTTCTTCTTCTCCTTCGTTTTTTTTTTTTTTGACCGGATCTTCTTCTCCTTCGTTGCGCTCTATCACGGCGGTCACTGACTCATTTATATCCACGAAACGGAACGCAGAGACAAAATGGAATCCTCTTACAATCGCAACATCTCGCTTTCCTAGATTCCTTTGTACAAAAGCTGGATGTTCACAGCCAATGTTCTGTGGATCGGGCGGCGCGTTGTCCTCCTTGGCGGGGGAGCAACTGGGTTCAATCCCATGCAGGAGTGTGTACGCGTAACCCTTGTAACCACAAAATAAATAAAAAAAGCTAGATGTTCACATAATTAATTCAGTAAATTGATATCTATTTATGCATTTGGTTAGTCCTTTTTTCATCTGAAGACACCAATTAATCTAATTTAATTCAATTAAAAAGAATTCCGTTTATTAACCACAAATATATAATTTACCCAAACTGTTTTGTAGGCAAATAATAACTATTCTTTTTGTAAATAAAAGTTTAGATGTATTGAATTTTAAAATTTAAAATAAAGACATGCATTCAGGTTTAAAGAATAATAATAGCTAGGACTACAATTATTAGAAGGACTATCTTGAAAAAAAATACATAAATATGAGAGACAAAGTGGATGGGGGTCTTATATTTAAAATCAAAATAAAAAACAAACAGAGTCTTATATTAAAAACCGGAAGTAGTACTTACTAACAATGTCGTCACATCGTAACTATTTAATTATAAAGTACTGCAATAGTTGTTTCTAAAAATGTTTGATAATGCGTTTTTTTTTTTTTGAAAAAATAACAATCAATATACTGATATCCTATGACCTAACAACTATAGAATACTGTCAATTAAAAAGATTAAATGTACTAAACCTAGCCGAGCTACCATAATGCAATCCCTTTATTTATGTTGCCGATGTATAAGATAAAGACATCAAGTCAAAGAAAAATTAATTAGCATCCACCCATGTTTTTTAATGCAAAAGGAAATAAAATATCGCTTCGCTGAAATTAAGCAGGGCGGCTATTTTGTTCCGTTCTTTAAAGAGCTTTCTCTCCATTCTTAATTAAAAAAAATAGTAGTTAATAGCTCTCAAATTAAAATTATTTCCAACTTTATCATCATAAAATGAGATTATGAAGGAGAGAGAAAAATGTAAAAAGTTACATATAGGCATTAATTATAAAGTTAAAATTGACGATGTACACACAGGACCAAGCAGCAGTTTGTACAATTTTTTTCCCCTACGTCATTTCAGTTTAATTTCCTCCCGGCACCAAAGCGGCGCTGTAAAATTGAAGCATGATGAGAATTAATATTAGAAATTTAACCCAGGATTTTGATTAAAAGAGTCCAGATGTTTTTTATCATGATCCCAATTCCCAAGGCTTTCGAATAAGAAGGGCTCAACCATCCGATGGCAGGACTGGCAGGACAGACAAAAATTTTCAGAAATCGCGCCAGGTAGGGGTCGAACCTACGACTTTCTGCTTAGGAAACAGACGCTCTATCCACTGAGCTACAGGCGCCAGTTAGTCAGTTATCTTTCATCAAATCATAACGTATATGTGACCACCCGCAGGCCCTCCCCCTACAGCAACGATCGAACCGGAGTCATCCAACCAAAGGTTGCGTGGGCCTCGGATTAACACGAGCAATGTTACGAGTTGATAACATGGAAATGTGGAATTGAAGACGGAATGATCATACATTTCACACTGTTGTTGGCTTACGCCATTGGTTAAACATGATTAAGTGGATAATGACTGAGCAATAATTACATCATGATAATATTAAACGCAGAATCTCCCCCGAGAATTTGAATGACTTCTCTGTTTCTTCCAGGCAATGATTCTTCTCCTCCCGAGTCCATCCCTGACAAAAACCACCAACCAACACATTCTCAGAATTCCATCTTCAATCACCAACTATGAATCATGTAAAAGGTTTTCGAGACATTCTTATTCTTTGATGGGATTTCTTATATAAGCAAGTTTCATGTAAAAGAATCTCAACTTGAGAAAAAACTTAGGCCTTGTTTGGTTTCTTGTTTTGAAAACAATTTTTTGTTTTTAAAAACAGAAAAACAAAAAAAACTTGTTTGGTAATTTCTTTTTAGTTGATTGTTTTAAAAAAAACAAAAAAACAATAATATGTTTTTTAAAATTGAAAAACCAAAACAACTTTTACATGTTTTCTTGTTTTTGTTTTTATGTTTTTTATTTTTTTATTTTGAGAAATTGGAGAAATCTTCTTTTTTTCCTCTACTACCTACTACTTATCACTACAAGTGATAACTACCACCTATCAAAGTGTAAATTTTTATATTTTTTTTCAAATGTGATTTTTTAAAAATTATTTTCCAAACAAAGTTTTTTGCTTTTTGTTTTTGGTTTTCAAAACTTGTTCTTAAAAACAATTTTATAAAATTGTTTTGAGAATAAGAAAACAAAGAACAAAAACAAACAGGCCCTTAATTATTTTAAATTTTTTTCCCCCGAGAAATGGAGCCCGGGATCAAAGGAAAAGGTATGAGAAACTTACTTCAGCAACTTTATTCAACTTGTCTCTCACATTCTGCAGTAGCTGGGAAAGATCACCATCCCATTTATAGAACTCCAATTCCTTGTTGTTGAGTATCTTCTCAGCCACCTAGAGAGACAAATTTGAGAGTTAAGATGACATTCAGCATAAAATAAATCAAGCAAAAGCACTTCTAGGCTTTACCTCCACTGGAGGAAATGATTATAAAATATCTGTAACTGAATCAAGCCTCCTTTCTGGAAACCACATACATACCCACACAAAAGTGGCGGGCAACCACACTTGAACAAATAGCTGGTTCATTATTTCTCTCGCTATAACTTTAGATATTGCAAATTCTGATTAAAAAATTAGACACAAAAAGTTGCATTCCAATGAAGAATTATAGTGATTAGACGCCATAAAGATGCCTCCACAAGATAAAGTTTACGATGCAAAGAAAATATGAAGGCAGGAACAGAACTTATAGGCCGTGCCCAAGTGAGGTGATACGACCACGCTTTGGGCAGTTCAGGCATCTGACAGACTAGAAATGTGTCACATATTCCATTTAACAGGAAGAAAATGGGGGCATTCCAACTACTTTGAAAACCTTAACTCCTTCAGTTATCTTAAATTTTTTGCATAGCCAATGATCAACAATAGTAATGATGCAGAAATTGGAGATGACAGAGAAGGGCCATTTCTAGAGATAATGATAATGGTAACTCCCCCAGCACCTTAACTGATGCACCATATGATTCATGCACAAACATTGGCAAGACTGAAACTTCAAATCTGATGTGCTGGTGAATTGATATCATCCAGGGTGGGTATGAGTTATTGACATAAATTGAAGAGAGATTGCATGAATTTGATTGATTACCTTCCTACCAATCATTCGACCACCTGCTGTATGGGCAAAGTAGATGTTGTAAAAGTGACAAATGAAGGCCTGGGGATCATTCTCTGATAACTCCTTAAGATACTGTGCATAGGTTAGACCAGGGGTGGAAGGTTCAGGAATGGTATGCCCTTGTTCACGGAACCACTGCAAATCCTTTTCTAAACTAGCAGACCTTTCCAATCCTGTATTTCTGAATTCAGCATCTGCAGAAGGAGCAGTGAAACTTCAACAGACTAAAAATCAACGTAAAAGAAAAAAGACATACAACAAGGGGCAGCAATTCATAAGTTATACACGTGCTAAAGAACCTAGATCAACCACTGCACACCCACAAACCCTCAGGAGGGCGAGATTGACATCGAAACAAACAAGAAGTCCTTGACATCAAGAAAATCAAATATGAATGATAATAATCTTCACTGCATCTGCATGTGCTTTAAATGCAAGTGTAAATTCACCATTATCATAGTAGAAAGGCTATATATCACAGGTCTCCCACAGCTGCCCAAAACAAAAGCAATTAGGAACGGAAAGTAAAACCCTTTGTCCCTGGAACACCAGCTTTGAACCGTTTCTACATAAAGAAAAACAAGCCAGGCTTCGATGCAGTGTTGTGTGTATAAGCTAATTTTAGAGACATATGACAGGTAGAAACACTTTCTACAACAATCAACGAGGCAAGAATACTGTTACCCTATACACGATGATGGAGTTTATCTCAGAAGAAAAGACAATTATAATAAAATTAATTTTTGAGGGGGGCGGGAAAGAAGGAAAACTATTTCAGGCAAACTAATGAAGATTCCAGGAAAACTATTTCGGACCAACTAATGAAGATTGCATTATTCTTGGTGATATTCCACGCTCATTAGAAGTAACGCAAGACATATACGAGGACCACAAATATCTCCCATGTAAGGAATACTCATTTTGGCATAGGGTTCGAACTATGCATCATACTCCCATTATAGTTTTTACATGATTAAGAACACATTAAAAAACACCAAAATAAACATTTAACCCCGGTAAAAGCCTTGTAAGGATTTTGAATTTTCCAGCAGAGGAAATCCGAGAAGCAATGTTTCTCATTGGATGAATAATCCAATATAGATAACCACAATAATCACTTGAGTGGCTAATTTTTCTCTTTCAGTAGATTTTGCAAGCCGGATTTCTGGGTTCAACTTCTCCTAAATGACACTATATATTTCCACATCATTCAAAAGCGGTAAAAACAGTATATAGAACCCTTTTAGAACTCTGATATCTCCCATCATTATTTTGATGAAACCCCGCATAAAATTCCAAAGCCCTCAAAGCACAAACGACAGAAAATGAAACAGAACTTGAAATTAACTATATCTGTCTCACGTTAATAAGCGGTCAAAATGAAGATGAGTGACAACCAATCGGATGGACAACTATACGTCAGCCAGAGCCAGGATCAGCAAACTTACAGCCAACCCTAGGGAACCACCTTTCATTCACACAAATGAAGATCAACTCAATCAAGTACGAATCAGAACAGCGCAAAATATCATTAACCATTCAAAGACAAAGAAAATTAACTCAGGGCAGGAACTCACAATAAGGATAAGCAGCATCTTCAATTATCTTCTCCAGCGTATCATAAACCAATTTGCTATCCACTAGAAACCGCAAATATCCATCAATTGTGAGTTCCCACTTGGTCACGCGTTGTTCCTCGGGTTCCTTGACTTCCTTCTCACCCTCCTTCGCCTGCTCTTTGGTATGCAACTTCATGGCCACAAACCTCATCTCCTCCACAAACCCCTTCGACTCACCCGGATAACGTTTCTTGGGTTTCTCAGCCGTTGTTGCAGAAACAACAGCCTTCCTGGGCACCTTCGAAGTCCCATTTGGAGCCCGAATTTGCAAAGATAACCTTTTGGACAAGAAAAAGGTGCCAAATTTTGGATTGCCGATGAAACTGGGTACAATGGAAGGATATTGACGAGATGCTCTGATACGGAGCTCGCTAAAACGGGATTTAAATTGAGAAGCTGGAGCGAGAGAAGCCATAGGAGTGCACTAAGTCGAATTCAGTCTGAGACTAAAAAGGCGGTGAGAGCAAACCAAGTCTCGATTAAAGCAATCTTAAAGAAGAAGCAACAGAAAATTCACCAGAATAATAACCGAGTTGATATAGTAAACTTCCGGTCAAATATGTATATAAAAAGACGGTATCAATATCCTGGTCGAGTGGATGAAATGAATCTCTGCAACAAAGTAGGGGACTGAGTCCGTGAAAGCATCAGGTTCAAGCGGTACACCAATAACAAGCAGCAATCACAACAAATAAGTTTATTTGGTATGATAAGGGAAAAATAAGAGATCGTGCTTTTCCTCGTATAGGAGATTCTTGTTCTTTTTTCTGGCTTGTGCTGCTATTATGGAAGGAATGGGGAAGATGTTTCGTGAAATAGCAGGAAAATAAAGGTTAGAAATGTCTATTAGGAAACAACAAGGAATAAAATAAAGCTAATGCTGGATTTCCCTGGTCGACACTGTGCCAAGCAGGACAACCAGATTAAACGACACCGTTCCTGAGGATACCGATTCTAGAATAACAACAGATCATGTGATGGTTATGAAAGCCAGGCAACGCTGCGAATGATTTGCCCGGATTGAGCAGTCTAAAACCGGGCGGTGGGCTGGAAACCGGAACCGGTTTAAGAAAGCGGACGGGCCAAAGTTTCCTCCTTTATTTGCAGATAATTGTGCAGAAAGAGTCTATGGGATTCATTTCCCCTCCTACTTAGTTTTTTTTCCTTAGTTGGGCTTTGCCCTCTCTTGTAACAAAAAAAAAAAAAAAAAAGGCGAAGGACGAGGAGGAAGGGGCACGAATAAGAAGATAAAAAGAGGGAAAGATAAGAAGCAGCCAACAGCCAACAGTAAGTCAAGCAGCAAACTTTAAAAACAAAAAAATCTGAAAAAGGGTCTTAACCTTTTCTTCCCTCCAACAATGACAACAAAAGAGCACAATGTAAAAAGGGTATTGGAGGACGAAGAGAATGAGATGAACTGAAGTGGAAACCCAGTGCCGTGGCCGGTTAAAATTGTGGAAGATTTTGAATCTGGAATAGTCATGGACAAAGCAGCTAGGATGACTTTAAAAGTGACGATCGAGAGAGATTAAAGAAGCCTATGGACAGCATTGAAAACATGCGAAGAAAAAGGAATTGTTTCTAAAGTACATGAAAGATATTTTTTTTCACCTATTTACAAATCATCTTATTAAATTTTTAGTATTTTATCTTTCATTTATTATAGTCTAAATAATTATTTCTTTTAAAACATGTATATAGTAAATAAGTATAAAGCTAAAAAGTTGTTATATTATACTACATCCGGTCTTTAATATAAGACTCTGTTTGACTTTTATTTTGATCTTAAATATAAGACCCCAATCCACTTTGTCTCTTATATTTATACATTTTTTCCAAAGTAGCCCTTCTAGCAATGATAGTTCTAGTCAATACACTTGATTAGTAAGGATATTTTAGGAAAAACAACACCTATTTAGGACAAATAACTAACTCAACTTACTTCCTTAATCTCCTCAAATTAGTCAACTGGCTCTTATAATTAGGACCGGAGGTAGTAGTAAAGAGTTAATGTAGTTTAAAATTTTTCTTAATTTATATAAAACATGCTGAATTTCCCTTATAAATAGAATCAAAGTATTATGTCCTACTTTAACTATTTAACATATCTTCAAGACATGCTCTATTATAAATACTTACTTTTTTTAGTTAAATTCTCATAGGTATAATAATATTTTTTATTTAATTATTATGTTGGACTTTCAGTCTAATCGATTTCATTTGAACAATGATCCGCTAGTTTTTTCAGTTTCATGTTCAGTCAGCTACCTAGAACATTCTGCTTAGGAAAATGTTATCACCAATCAATGATCAAAAATATCAATCATCAGTCAATATATAAATATATGCAACAACGCTTTGATGTCTTTTGCCTTCCATTCGGGGGAAAAAAAGTGATATCCTTCTCAATATAAAATTCTAAAATTATGATTTGCAAGAAAAACAATCTTAAATATTTCATTATATACTTAGAATTTTTCTTAGTTTTGAATTTACATCATTTGAATTTATCCACCGATGGAGATAGAAGCGTGTTTAAAGAAAGAAGCTTCAACAGGTATAGCTATCTGGTTAAGAAACACCCCATCAACAGAGTCGCTTTGGCCGAGTGGTTAAGGCGTGTGCCTGCTAAGTACATGGGGTTTCCCCGCGAGAGTTCGAATCTCTCAGGCGACGTTGATATTTTTGTTCTTGTGCACTTTCCTTTAACCCCATCTTTGCCGATTCTGTCTTTGCTTTCACCGCTTCCCGTTTACGCCACTTTGCGTGTTGAATCCTGTTGCACGTATTCCTTTCCTTTCTAACAATCTTCATTTGTTGCCGTTTACATCAGATCAAACATCAATTATCTGTCTCTTTTTGTCATTTTACATTTCGTTCCGTGATCCCCATGAGTTGCCACCCACATATGGTTCTGGTTCACCAACAGCGCGAGTCAAGTTGAATGTTAGGAACAAACAAGACTCCTTTTGGAAGAATCTTCTTTCTGTGTGTATGGATATAAGCTTTTATTGCAAGGCAAGCACTGACTAGCATGGACCATGATTCTGCAGTGCTGAGTGTTATCATGATCTTGTGAGATAGGTTCGAATATTACGAGGGGAAAACAGAGCCAGTGGCCTCACTCGGCGATCCTGTGTGGATGACTATTTTTTGCATGATGTCTTTGCTGGTCCATCAGTTTTAGGTTGAATCAACCTAAAAATGGAGTTACTTGATGCCATGTGAGTGCAATAACGAGGTTGAGAATTAGCGAATTTGGAAACACGAGGTCTTAGAAATGAATTCTGTCCCATGCAGCAAGCAGTTCACTAAAAATTATCAGAAGTCTTGAAAACAACAAGAGAAAAAAGCACATATCTTCCATCAATTAGTTTCGTAAAGCTTTCGCGATCAGGCTAGGATCTACATGATTAATTGATCATGCCCGCAAAGTAATGTCTTTTCATGTAAATATCTACTAACATCTAATACTATTGACCAATGAAAATTTATAGTAAATTAGTCCAAATGAAAGAGTGGCTTGCCTCACAGTGACCACCATTAATATCTTCGTAGAGTCATCCAAGTCATGAAATGCATCAAAAAACCAAAAAAAAAAAAAAGGCAACCAGAAAGAAAACCTCTAAACCTGTATTAGTAACATTCAAGTAAGAAGCAGCTATAGAATATGGGGTTACAGTACATACTGATATTGAATATATAAGCGTCGGCAAAACGTCAAAACATGGCTAATCCTACAAACTGCAGAGGTTTTATTATCCGGAACCTATATGATTCTATCGATCCAACCAATCCCTTCTTTACATTTAGCATCTTACATCTGTGTTAGTATCTAAGGCATAAGCGTAACAGAGACTTCATTCTCAGGGGAAAACAAGAGGGGGACGGGTGCACTGCCCTCTCAAAGTAACCCAGCAGGTTACTTGGCCGTTTGTTCCAGAACTGGTATTTTCTTCCACTTTTCTTCCAATCCATTCATTTGCAGGGGTGGCAGTGAAAACACGCTAACTGTGGAGCTTCCACTTCTAATCTCCTGCAAAACATGCAATGCTGATATGGTACTCTTCATATAGAGACTCTCCATGTACTCAATCTCCGACATTTCCTTCGGTATCAGCAGACCATTGCTCTTGGTTGTAGCTGAACTTGAAGGATCACACCCTTCTGCTTGTGGATTTCCCTCACCACAGGCTGCTGGTTCATTTGCAGGGAAGAGGCGATCCAGCATTGATTCACATTCCTTTACTAGCTTGTAGAGGAGGTCAGTGGTGAAAAATGGCTGCTGCAATACCTTCTGAATGAATGGCAAGCGAATCAGGGCCCCAGTTCTCTTATCATACTTCTTTAGTATTTTCACTAGTCCTGTAGAAAGGAACATTGATTAATATCTGAAACTGTTGATGAACGAAGTCTAAGTTTACACAAATCCTCAATGTATGCTCAAAAGCATCTACTCTAGGCTGACTAAAGTTTAGCCTGTATAAATCACTTAATCTAAATATAGCTTTTAGCACTATTGAAGTGAGGGAGAAAAAGAAATTGAGCATCGGAGACTAGCTACAAATCTTTTTTAAAAGAAAAAATCATGATCAGCCAGTCCATTAAAAACGGATCATTTTGATTCATAAAGAATGAGGCGCAAGAGGACTTATGGAGAAACATCTCTTGTTCTTTTTACAAGATCCTGATTGGATCCACATGTGCTGGGTAAAAAGAACAAGATTCTCTTCAGCGTCAGCAAAAGACTTAAGAAAGTCATCTGCTATAATTACACCGAGTCTATCAGGATCCGATTTCATTTGTTTTTAAAGCAGTTTCAAAATAGAATCACTCTCAATTGAAAAGAGTCAGACTTCTATTCAAGGGTTATGGCCTTTCAATTGATGGGACCCTTCTATACCTTGTAATAGGAAGTTCTCTAGGTCGTTAATAAAAACACTAACATGGAATTTTTCAGGAGGCAACAAAAGTAGATACAGAAGGCATTATATTCATAGCGCTACCAACAATGTTAATTGACAACTTCACTGAAATTGAGTTGAACAACTGGTCCTTATTTTAACACGCAACAGCTACAAGTTTTTATCAACTTCAAGAAAGACACGAGTATAATTACCCTATAGCGCACAAACACCACAGGTTACAACGTAAATATCTGATTTACTCTGTAATGGAGAGAGAGAAAGAATCCAAATTTCAAACAGTCCACATGATTTGTCCTCATGCTAGATTTTTTTTTTTAAGGGATTATTTAAAAGTAATATATTGAGAGTTTAAAGCACCTGTATAGTTAAGGGCACTGTAGTTTTCCAGCAAGACCATCTCTCCATGGAAATCAACAATTTCTTTCCGAATTTTCAGTAGCTCTTCATTAGAATCCTTTACTTTCGCCACCCTATCTTGTAACTCCTGCATTTTAATTACAATAAACACAAGTAAGAATACTAGTTCTCAGTATAAAGCTGCTTTACTTATCATTAAAGAATATGCTTAAGACTTTCTTTAGAATATATGATGCAAACCAGTGACAATATTTTGGAAATGCGAAAGCCACTAGCATAAGCATCTTGCCTTTCAACTATGCACAAAAACGACAACGTATGGCACTGTGCAGAATTTTTTTTGGGGATCATAACTCATAAGCACTATGAGGAGAGGTGAGCTGTGGTCCGTTAATCAGTTCCCCTTACCAAAGAATTTCTTTTTTTTTTCTGCTTTAATTTTTTGGGAGAAGGAAAAAAAACAGATCTAATTCTAGCGCTGTGGTAAGTTGCGTCTCAGCTTTTTCCTAAGCATATATTCCAAAGCATATCAAGCCACCAAAAAAACACAAAGAAAGAAAG